GCTGAAACGCAAAGAGACTATCACAAAATAGTAGCCAAGAAGCCATTTTGCTTTCGAAACATTTTTGCAAGCAGAGATGCTTAGGGCAAGCTGTTTCCTAACTGTTCTTTTTTGTTCTCTCATTCTCCTTCTTTAACACATTGATGAGCACATTTTATTTATTTTTAACAAGAACAATTCATATTTTATGACAATAATGCATGCCAATTAAAAGCATGGCAGGTGCCAAGATTTAATGGCTTAAAATGTTACATGCCACTATTCACATGGCAGTCAAAAGAGCTATAAATATATAATTAAGATGTGCTTGGTTGGTTGGGCTTTGCTAGATTACTCTGATGCATAAACAAAGATCATAGCCAACCTGACAACAGTGTACTTTTTGTAACCTACCTGAACAGGTAATAAAATATGATAAGTTCTGAACTGTGCTTCCCCCTCAACCTACAATGGCTTATATCTAATGAATAAGAGTGGATAGGAAGTTGTTTGTACAATATTTTTTTCCCTGCCTCCCCACTCCTCCGTTTTTTAATTACACTACGTAACACAATTTTTGTTCTTGGGTTATAAATGTTATTTCCTAACTGGGTCTATCATAACAACATGGAAAAGGTTGATTAAACTGCAAAAACTTTGGTTTTGCAAGACATCCTTCAGCACATTTTGCTATACATTTTCAATGAATATCTCATAAAATCTCAACCAATGCAACATAATTTGAGGAAGCCACAAAAACGAAGTTTCTTGAGACTAACAACTACTTTCAAAGGAAGCACAGCACATTAAACAGGAAATAACACTTTCAAACCAGGTACATAATTTTCCCCCTAATTTGTTACATAGTGTTATTATTATCATTATTTTATTTTTTGCTGCAACCTGAAAACTGAAAACTGCAACTGTGAAGGAAATGTCAGAGATTTTCTTAAACGGTACAGGATCTGTCCTGAGGGGTTTTAGTGGGAAGATTAACTCTGATTTTAAAAGGTCCTGGATGAAGATGGATGAATCTAAGTGTCTTTCTTATTCATGTTCTTTCAATTCCAAATGATGATGATGATGATGATGATGTATTTGTATTTCGTTTAATTTCCCCAAGGGGACTCAGGGCAGATTCCAGCATACACAAACGCAAAGACAAACATGCAATGCCTGGAAACAACTAAAAACAGATAAAAACAGATAAGGACATTGCCCAAGGAATGCCTGAATGTTTGATGTTTTACCATCCTTGTGGGAGGCTTCTCTCATGTCCCTGCACGGGGAGTTGGAGTTGACAGAGGGAACTCAACCTGCTCTCCTTGGATTTGAACTGCTGACCTGTCGGTCAATAATCCTGCTGACACAAAGGTTTAACCCATTGCGCCACTGGGGGTTCGAACTGCTAGACTGGCAGAAGCTAGGGCTAACAGCAGGAACTCACCCCATCCCACAGATTTGCACGTCAACCTTCCAGTTAACAAGTTCAGCAGCTCAGTGGTTTAACCCGTTGCACCACCATAGCCCCTTTTTATGAAATATGAACTAAATAAAAATATTCAAAATTGTTTATCCAAAAAACAAACAAACAAAAGAACTAGCAGCAGGAGGAGAAAATGTAATTCTCACCATTACTGGACTTTACAAATTCTCTCATTCAGGCCCATAGCAAGGATTTCGTTTCGGGGGGGGGGGGGGTCTGAATTTTTCAGGGGGGGTGGGGGGGCTGAGTTTCGGGGGGTGAGTCTGAGTGAAAGAGGGTCTAGCATAGCAAACCTTTTGTATCATTACCCCAATACCCCCATGCATATGGGATATATTGAGTATGGTGATCAGATCATGATATGAATAAACATAACAGTTTAAATAATGCACCAGTAAGGCCTTTTCGCGAACCACCATGAGAATTTCGGGGGGGGGGGGCCGAAGCCCCTCGAGCCCCCCCCCCCCGGCTACATGCCTGCTCTCACTGAAGAACTAGTTTCTTCCCTAAGAAAATGATAAAGCCTACTGTTACTAAATCATTACAGTATCCAAGTTTCACATTACAACGGATCCACTTGTATAACTTTCAAAAGTGAGGATATGAGAGACTTTTAAAAAATGAGTCTTTTAAAAATCTCTCTGTAATTCAGAAGGGGAGGATGAAACAAACTAACATGGCTATCTCTTTGAAACTTGTGTAATTCAAGTAATTCAGCTGCTGCCTAAAGCACACTTGGGATGCAGCATAAGATGGTAACATCTTATATTGCCCAAAATAAATGCCTCAGTGAACCATGACTTACTAACAAGCACATACTAAATACATAACATCAGCTTGAAAGCATGTTTTTGTTTGTTTGCAGAAGCAATGACCAATAGCTCTGTATGAACGGGAAAGCCACAACAGGACTGTGTTAACACTGACATGCACCTGTGCCTTGGGTGCTTTCTTTATGATAAAGTTATTTAAGATGAAAGCAATGCCACCAGTGACTATGGCTTTGGGCTGCGATCATTTGTAATTGCAAAAGACATCTGGATCATCATAGCTCCCAACAGAGACAACAGCCACTGGGTAGGAATGATCATCTTTTGAAACATAAAGCTTTGGTCTGTCTCGAATCCCTTCAGAGCATATCAGCCAAGAATGCTTCAGAGATGGAGAATATTTCGCGGAAGAGTTGTACTGAACAGAAACACTGTCAGAGATAGATTGGATGTTGCAGAACTCCTCTAACCCCAGTGACATCAATTTAAAAGGGATGCAAAATGAAATGCACGCTTGAGCCATTCTTCTAGCTACACTTCAGGCAAATGGATAACAGGGATTTATAGTGCTGAAAAAAACAATGTGAACAAATTCAAAATAAAAGCCTAAGTAGAGGAGAGTTGAAGATTTTCATAGAACCATAAAATCTAAGAGCTGGAAGGAGCCGCAAGGGCCATATAGTCCAACTCCCTGCCATGTAAGGATATACAACTGCAACAGTCCTGGAAAATGCCCATCCAACATCAGTTTAAAGACCTGCAAAGAGGAAGAGTCTCACATGGAGCTGTTTTGTTTTGTTTTTTTTGTGTCAGGAGCAACTTGAGAAACTGCAAGTCGTTTCTGGTGTGAGAGAATTGGCCGTCTGCAAGGACCTTACCCAGAGGATACCTGGATGTTTTGCTGTTTTGCCATCCTTTTGAGAGGCTTCTCTCATGTCCCCACATGGGGAGCAGGAACTGACAGAGGGAGCTCATCCATACTCTCCCCAAATTCAAACCTGAGACCTGTCGGTCTTCAGTCCTGCTGGCACAAGGGCTTAACCCATTGCACCACTGGGAGCTCCACATGGAGCTGCAAGCTGACCATTACCATCACCTGAAAGTTTTTCCGTTTTCTTTTCTCCAAAGTAAACATATCCAGCTCTCTAAAGTTGTTTCTCATCAAGCTTGGTTTCCAGACCTTTGAACATTTTGGTCACCCTTTTTGGACAGCAGATCAGCATCCTTCTGCAGAAAGTTTTCTCTTTTTTTATATGTACTTTTGCTTTATTATAATTGTTTGGTCTTGGTTTCGTGTTAGCACGCCCCGATGACAAGTTGTATCATTGCTAACTGGATGCATGCTGATTTCCCGATCACACATGGTGATGGAAAGTGCAATGTTTTTCAAATATGATTAGAATATCATCTAGAAATGCTCAATTTCTGTGATGTTTTGCAGTCAGATTTCAATTGATTACCAATGGAATGGGGTAAACATCATGTGATGGGGCTTGTTAGAAATCATCCTCAATCAGAAACGGAGTATTTCCTGATGCGATGAGGTCCAAGTTCCAACTCTTTCCAACTTAGCTTTATTTTGTGTGGGTTTTTAGACAATAGCAATGCAATCCCAAATCAAAGACATGCCAGACACAAAAATTAGGAATTGGCAGGTGCCTCTTGTGCCTGCTTAATTGCCTTCATGTTGGCTGAACTCACTTTTGCCAGCTGATTTCTGAGATCTGCCAACATAAGCGAGATCAGCTGGCAAAAGAGCCATAAAGAGGATGAAGAGCTGGCAAAGCGAGGGAAGAACATGTGTCAGAAAAAAGGCAGGTTATGACCCTTAAACCCAGAGATATAATCACTATACCGGTACAAATTAAGCCTGTGCATTCCCAATAATTCCTAACACCCTATGGTGGGATGGCTTTGGAGTAACTTTAGTTGGCTTACTGTCTGCTTTATACATCTTATGAGTTACAATCTTATGAGTTACAATTGCGTTTTAAAAGGATTACCACGATTGTGTCCAAATCAGCACAGATAAAAACTTCATGTCTGATTGAGAGGCAAATTATCCTTGGCTTTGGAAGTCCCTACCGAAGGAAATTAGGCTGATCCATCTCTTGTAAACTTCTGGCAGGCAGATGAAATTGAAGTGGTTGACCCTCCCCTTTCCCTTGGCTGCAAAATCGGCGGGCGCAGGAACAACAAGACAAGCAGTCAGGTTCCTTCAAGAAAGCAGTTTACTTAGAAATCAAGCAGCTGCCTGGGTCGCCTCCTACGCAACATGGCGCCTGGGGAAACGACCCAGGCCTCAAGCCATGCGGCTCCTTTTATACAATCAAAGGGGTTCGGTTTAGGACCGCCCCGYAACAAAAATCATTGGTTCAAAGTTGTGGTGCAGTTTAATAAACATCCAATCATTCCCTGCCACCCAAACATCCAATCACCACCCGCCACCCTTGCCAAGCCCCTCCCTAACCCCATACTGCCCCCTATCCCATGAGTACTGGTACCTTCCCCAACCTCCATTTTTGTAGTTCCACCTTATTCCCCCATTATTATTTTTTTTTTCTCTTTCTGGGAAATTGGAAAAGCTCCCAGTAAACCGTCCTATCAGACCGGTGGTCACTATCCTTTATCAAATAACCGTCATAACAGTTCCACAAATGTAAAAATAACATTATCATTCGAATACAACAATAAAAAAAACATTTTATGGATCCCTCCAAGTCTTACTGGGTTGGAACACAGTAACTTTTCCCATTGTTGGGGTCTGAACCATATATTGGGTACACATTTGCATAACTATGGGGGAACAACATAATATGATGAAAAATATAAACAAGCCTAGCATAAAAATTATCAAAATTTCTTTTATCCATGTTTCTGAGGGCAACCAATCGGTTAACCACGAGAAGGGGGACCATCCCAGATCTTCTTTTACATTGTCATTTATTAAGTTGCGTAACGTTTCAAGATCATCCTGAATGGTAGAGTTCAGGTTATGGAACCTAACTACGCACTGGGGCCCCACCATCTTACAGAAACCTCCTTTTGCTGCCAACAAATAGTCTAGGGCTACCCTTTGCTGCATAATCATCTGGCTTAACTCTTCAACTTCAGCCTGCAAGCCCCTTACAATCTCCCCAGTGGCATTTACACTCTTCTCCAACCTACAGGTGAGGCCTAAAATACTCCTCCTATTTTCCTGAGAGATGATCCCTGGATAGGACCCGAGTGTCAGAGTCCCAGTAAATGATCCTCCAATCACCCTCGCTCCCTCTGAGTAGGACAAACCTTGCCCTATTATAACCTCGTCCGAGCACCCTGGCCCTAGAGGCCCTGTTTGGTAAGTTGTCCTCTTTTTCCGTGCTCGGGGTCCAGCGGATATTTTTCCTGTGAGGTGTAAAACCCGGACTGGGAAAGTCAGGTATCCTATGCCGGCACACTGATATTTCCCAGGATGGTATTTAGTTGCCCATTCATTAAAGAAAAAACCATAAGTTGGGATCTCTTATCCACCATACATTTACAGGGTCCGGAAAGGTTCTTACTTGAGAAGTGTATTGAAAATCTGGATATATCTCTTTCCATTCGGACTCATTCAGGAAATCCGAGAGATTATTTGTGTCATTAAGGTATGAGTAATTATAGGCACCATGGAGAAAGAAACGATCTCTACAGGCACTATAGTTTCCCATCTCATCAAAAATCTTTTGTATCCCCCTGGCAAAACTTGGTTGTTCTTCCTTTGTGCCAAAACAGAAACACAAGCCCCTAGTGGCTTTTCGGAATCTAATCAATGTACTCCTATCGTTTCCCGCCCTATTGGAAACATTAGTAAATAACCCTGGGGGCTGATTATTATTTATTCGATATAAGTCATCCAAGACTGGTTGGGGTTCATTAAACACATCAGGGAGAAAGGCAAAATCCCCCACTCTCCGGGGGTGCTCATAAATCAGTGTTACATTTTTCCCATGTACCTTGAACATTTCGCTGGCATGAAGAGTAAACCAATTTTCAAAGGTCGGTACAAACATGCTAAACAACACTATAAACCCAAACACTGTTCTCCGTCCCAGCGGCCCTCTAGTTTCCCTCCTTCCCATGAGAACATTTTTCCACCAACTCCAGGAGAATGTTTTCGGTGGGCCACGCTGGGACATACTTGACCAACGGCGTTCTGTTGTTCCCGAAGGGGTCAGCTTCATGGCCTTGTTGTCCCCTTAGGGTGTTGCCGGACAATCCTGAGTCTTAATCCACTCGGATCGGTTCCTCCTACCCTCCACGTAGGTGGGGCTTGCTTTATGCGGGTATAATGAATCCAGGGTTTAATCTCCCTAACTTTTACTGCAGTTGGGGTTGACAATATCACCATATATGGCCCTCTCCACTTTGGCCCCAAAGGGTCAATCTTCCATTCTTTTACTAAAATCTCGTCACCTGGTGAAAAACAATGTAGAGGTGTGGTAGGATAAGGAGGATGAAGATCTGCAACATATTGAGCTAACTTTTCCAATTGCTTTCCCAAAGCTCGTAACTGTCCCTCTGTTTGCTCTTCTCCTACTACATGGGCCTCTGCCCCTTGCATTAAAATGTTTTTCAAATTGAGTGGAGGTCTCCCATACAGCCTTTCATAAGGAGACAGTCCTGTCCTCCGGTGCGGAGTACACCTGACTGTTAACAGTGCCATTGGCAGGGCGACTGGCCACTGTAGCCCAGTTTCCTGGCAAATTTTTGAAATTGCTGACTTTAAAGTCCTATTCATTCTTTCAACCTTAGCCGATGATTGTGGTCTATACGCGCAATGCAATTTCCACTTTGTTCCTAATAGGACGGCCAATCCCTGTATGGTTTTATGGACAAAAGCTGGGCCATTATCTGAGCCAATCTGCAGGGGTATTCCAAATCGAGGAATAATGTCTCTTAGGAGGGCCCTGGACACCTCGACAGCCTTTTCAGTTCGGGTGGGGTAGGCCTCTACCCACCCGGTATAAGTATCTACAAACACCAGCAGGTATCGGAGCCCTCGATGGGAGGACATCTCCGTAAAGTCAACAACCAGTGCCTCGAAAGGGGTTCCCCCAGTATGCTGGATCCCAGGAGGTTGTAAAGGTCCTTCTCTTGGATTGTTTTTAGCACATGTCCAACATCTCATGGCGGCTGCCCTGGACAGACTGTGTAGCCCGTTGATATATAGCTGTCTCTCGAGGAGTTTCGCTAGGGCACCTTTTCCTAGGTGTGTGGCATGATGTGCCTGTTGTACTATGTGCCATGCCATGTTTTTAGGAACATAGACACGGTGATCTGGCATCACGATCACTGAATCTCCCCATTGTCCTCCTTCTGTAAGAGCCCACTCCTCCTCCTCCTTTGTGTATTGAAATCTTTCTAAAGGGGAAGTATCGGTTCTACATACTGCCACCCTTCCCTGCACAGCACCCTGCCGAGCGGCTTCCTTTGCGGCTAAATCCGCTTGGCGATTTCCTCTTGTGACCGCATCTTCCCCTCTTTGGTGGCCCTTACAGTGCATCACCGCTACCCGATCCGGATCCCAGACCGCCTCCAGGAGAGCTACAATCTCACCCGCATACTTTACGCCCTTTCCAGCCGACGTTAGGAGTCCCCGCTCCTTGTACAATGCCCCGTGGGCATGCAGCGTAGTGAATGCATACTTGGAATCTGTGTAGACATTGACCCGCTTTCCTTTCGCCAACTGTAGAGCTCGGGTCAAGGCCACGAGCTCCGCTTTCTGAGCTGAGGTCCCCGGAGGTAGAGGCTCTGCTTCCAGGACCTCCCCTCCCTCCTGGACAACAGCGTATCCTGCTCGTCTCTGTCCACTCTCAATGAAGCTGCTACCATCAGTGTATAGGGTCAAGTCTACTTTGGACATCGGCACATCCTTTAAGTCTGGCCGGCTGGAATATACCTGTTCCATCACTTGAGTGCATTGGTGAGTTGTTTCATCCCCTGGGACAGGTAACAAAGTGGCCGGGTTTAGGGAGGCACAGGTCTCAAGGGTCACCATTGGATTATTACACAGGACCCCCTCATACTTAGTCAGTCTCTCATTCGTGAGCCATCGAGGTCCCTTTGTGTCTAATAATGCCTTAACATGATGTGGTACCCTTATGGTCAGCGGCTGTCCTACAGTTAGTTTACTAGCTTCCTTGATCAAGTCGACGGTTGCCGCCACTGCCCTTAAGCAAGGGGGCAACCCTTGGGCTACTGTATCTAGCTGCTTAGACAAATACGCTACCGGCCGCTGCCAAGATCCTAATTTCTGTGTAAGGACACCCATAGCCACTCCATCCTTTTCAGAGACGAATAGGACAAAGGGTTTTTCCACATCTGGCAGTCCAAGGGCCGGCGAAGTCATCAAAGCCTCCTTCAGTCTCTCGAACGCCTCCTGGCACCCTGGGGTCCATTTGAATGCATCTTCCCTTCCCCCTCTCGTAGCCTGATATAGAGGTTTGGCAATTGCAGCATACCCAGGGATCCACTGATGACAGTACCCTGTAGATCCCAAAAACTCTCGCACCTGCCGCCTAGTGGTGGGGGTGGGAATGGCACATATCACTTCCTTCCTTTCTGTCCCTAACGTGCGATGTCCATCTGCTATCTCGAACCCCAAATATTTTACTCTTGTCTGGCAGAGTTGAGCTTTCCTCTTCGAAACCTTATAGCCCTTCTCCTCTAAGGCTTCCAACATCCTCAAAGTATAGTGCCGACAACCCTCCTTACTGCGACAAGCGATCAGAAGGTCATCTACGTATTGGAGCCACACCCCCTCTGTGGTCGGAATTTCAAAATCTTCCAAATCCTTGGCCAATGCCTGCCCAAAAATCATCGGACTGTTCTGAAAGCCCTGCGGCAAACGAGTCCAGGTAAATTGGGCCCTCTGACCCGCCTGCTGCGAGTCCCATTGAAAGGCAAAAATTGGCTGTGACACCGGAGCCAACTGGATGCAGAAAAAAGCATCCTTCAAATCCAATACTGAAAAACAGACAGTCCATGGTGGGATCAAACTCATCATAATATATGGGTTCGGTACTACCGGTGTCAATAGGACTGTAGCTTGATTAACTGCCCTTAGATCTTGAACTGGGCGGTATTCCCCTGTCACCCCGGATTTTTTAATCGGAAGGAGAGGAGTGTTCCACGGAGAACTGCAAGGTACTATAATCTTATGTTGAATCAAGCGATCTAAGTGCTTTTGTATTCCCAATGATGCTTCCCTACTCACAGGGTATTGAGGTTTTCTAACGGGTCCCATTCCTCTCTTCACTTCCACTACCACGGGGGGTACGTTCTTTGCCAGCCCAGGTGGATTGTCCTCGGCCCAGACCGCAGGGGTCCTATCCCATGGCCACTCTTGCATACTGGAGCCGCCCCCGGGGTTCCCCTCCTTTGCAATCATCAGTCTCCATTCCTCTTCCATTGGCAAAGTCAATTCCATCTGGCCCCCTTCTAAAAACTGAATCTGCGCTTGGAGCTTACTCAAAATGTCCCTTCCCAATAGGGACACTGGGCAATCTGGGTGATACAATAGTCTATGCTTTACTTCATGACCTGCTAAATTACAGGTCCTTTCCTGCAGAAACGGACACCTTTGCATCCTTCCAGAAAGACCCACCACTCGAGTGGTGTAATCGGTGGGGGGGCTCACCATTTGGTTTACCACCGTCCGTTCTGCCCCAGTATCTACAAGAAAATCCAATTGCTGGTTCCCGATTTTAACCTTAACCATCGGCTCCCCGGGATCCAGCAGTACAAGAGCCTGGCCGCTTCATTCCTCCTCCTCTTCCTCCATATCCACCCACTGATTCTCTTCTGAGACCATAGCGGCTGCTATCTCCTTCCTGGGGAACGGGACGTAGCTTCCGCGTCCCCTTCCTCGACCATTCCCTCTACCTCTTCCTCGACCCCCCATTTCCTTCTGGACTGGTCCCTCTACCTCCTGTCCCCTACATTCTCTCTTCCAGTGCCCATATTCCTTACATTTGGCACACTGGTTCCAGTCCAACCGCACCCTACCTCTCTCACGCCCCCGCCCCCTGGGCGCCTCAGGCTTCTCCATCATATTAACCAAAACCTTGTATCCTTCTTTCCTATCCTTCTTCCTTTTCTCCTCCTCAACTTGATCTCTGGCCATATAGACTTGGTCCGCTATGGCCAGGAGTTCTGTCATAGATTTACCTATGAACCCTGGCTGCTTCTGTATCTTCCTTCTAATGTCATCCGCTGCCTGAGTAATGAATGACTGTTGTATCGCACGTTTCCCATTATCATCGTCCAGATTGTATGGACTGTATTTTCTATATGCCTCTTCTAACCTTTCAAGAAATGCTGTGGGCGATTCAGACTTCTCCTGACGTATCCCCTGGATTTTTAAAATGTTGGCTGGTCTCGGGGGCCCTCGCCTCACAGCCTTCACCAAAATCCCCTGGAAAACACTCAACCTCTGACGATGTGCTACCTCCTGGTAGTTCCACTGCGGGTCCACCTCTTGGGGAAACTGCTGGCGTCCCCATTCGGCCACATCAGTAGCGGCCGGCCTCCCCTCTACCTCTTGGGCAATTAGGCTTGCCTGATTTAAAATCTGCCTCCTTTCTTCGTTAGTGAAGAGGACCTGCAAAAGTTGCTTGCAGTCCTTCCAAGTGGGATTATGGGTGGACATTATTGTCTCTAGGAGATTTGCCATTGCCATCGGCTGTTCTGAGTAAGGAGGTGTGGAATTCTTCCAATTCAAGAGATCACTGCTAGTAAATGGGACCACCTGATAGAGGGATTGAACTGCATCATTTTGTCCTAAGGCGTGGACTTCCCTTATTGGGAATTCTCCCAACAAGTCCCCAGTAAGCATATCTGCGCCTATTCCTTTCTTCAAAGCCTCCCTTGCTCGTGTGAGAGCTGGGCTTGCATCACTGGGCAATCTCCGATTCACATACTTCTGCAGTTCTTTAGAGAGGTCCCCATGAGGCCCAGATGGAGTAGGCCTCAAGGGAGTGCTATCATAGGGTGGCAAAGGCGGCGGACCCATATTTGGCGGAGCAAGGGGGTCGAATTCAGCGACTGCTGACTGCCCTGGGGACAAGTTGTGGGCCGCCAGAGGGGCCGTAGGAGGAGGTGGAGAACCTGGAAGTCCCGCCGGGATCCTCCTTCGAACCGCCTGGGGCCATTCCTCTTCTGTATCTGCCTCCAAGATCTTGGCTGGTTTTCGGCCTCCCTTTTTGCGTACAGCCATACACCTAAGCTTCTTACACTGCTGCACCCAGTCCGGATTCTGAGTCACTACAGTATCCCACGCATCTATGTAGATGAGCTGATCCGGATGATGTTCAGCACAATAGGCCTCAACCTGCCTAATCTTTTTTATATCCCAAGTTCCTTCTTCTGGCCACCCAAATGGAAAAGTCGGCCACTCATTAGTGCATAAATTCCTCAACCTATAGTCCTTAAAATCCTCTGGATCGGCCTGACTTGAGGCCGCCACAAATTTGTCAAAATTCCTCAACATACATCCTAAAGGGGTGTCCTTTTTAGAACCTCCCCCACCCATGGTTCCTACGCGGACCTTCCACCTTGGCCTGGGTACCCGGACACTCAACGGCGTACTTCAGGAACCGCAAGGTTTTCAGTCCTTCCTCCCTTTTCCCTCCCTCAGGGAAACTTAGTGATCACCCTTCCTTTCCCCCCCCCCCCGGTACCGGCCCTATGTGTGTGTTCCCTAATGTCTAACTTGACCACTATACTTGCCAGATTTCTGAAGACGTTGGTGCAACCTTCGCCCCTGGACTTTCCACCTGGATCCTCCCTGGACTGGTTTCTTGCGAACTTTTCGACTGCGATTGTTCTGGTTCGGGCCCGGCCCAAAGAGGGAAGCACCGCAACCGGTTATGCAGCGGTCGGGGGCCCCCTTCTTCTCGGCTCACGGTGGTTGCCTCTAGTCCCGGTCCCGGACCAGCAATCGGCCTGCCAACAGGGCCTGTCTTGTTGTTATCGGCCCTTCAACCTATCACGTCGGGGTCACCAAAATGAAGTGGTTGACCCTCCCCTTTCCCTTGGCTGCAAAATCGGCGGGCGCAGGAACAACAAGACAAGCAGTCAGGTTCCTTCAAGAAAGCAGTTTACTTAGAAATCAAGCAGCTGCCTGGGTCGCCTCCTACGCAACATGGCGCCTGGGGAAACGACCCAGGCCTCAAGCCATGCGGCTCCTTTTATACAATCAAAGGGGTTCGGTTTAGGACCGCCCCGAAACAAAAATCATTGGTTCAAAGTTGTGGTGCAGTTTAATAAACATCCAATCATTCCCTGCCACCCAAACATCCAATCACCACCCGCCACCCTTGCCAAGCCCCTCCCTAACCCCATGCTGCCCCCTATCCCATGAGTACTGGTAACTTCCCCAACCTCCATTTTTGTAGTTCCACCTTAAAATGGCATTGTTCCTTGTGGCATTTAATGTTTGAAATTTTAAAACTAGATTCTAGGATTATTTTTGCACTGCTTTTTAAAGAGTATTTTAACATGGTTTTGAAATGTTTTAATCTTTGCATTGTTCCAGTTTGTTTTTATTTGCCCACTGACTTGGGAACCATTTTGAGTTGGAGGAAACACAGAAATAGAATGAATTAATGGCTGGATAATTTCTCTGCTGGAAATCAATGATTTGTTTTTTCGTACTGAAAATTAGAAATATCCTCAGCCTCATCTCTAGTGTGAAATATTGACACTGGACTATAGTATTGCAAAGTTGCTGCATGCCATTCCTTGCTTGGCCCAAAATCTATAACAGATGGGAATAATACTAAAGTGCACAGTTATTTGAATTACTTAGGCGATCCCTCGTAGTCTGAGGATGATGGTCCTCCAAGTTCGGTGTCCTGGCGGTGGGTTCGTAGATGACTGTGGAGCCCTATTCTTGCTGCGTTTGGGCCGTTCACTGTCAGTGTTGTCCATCAGTGTCCATACGTTCCATGTACCAAAGTTTATTTTTCTTTTTTGGCCACAGGGTGGTGTTTTTATTTTCTTTGGAAGACGCCTGTGTGAGTTTTTTTTAATGTGTGGAGGTCAGTGCACAACTGATCAACACACAGTCTTCACAGAGTGAGGTTCCACTGGTGGTGTAGTTTAACACAATGACCGTGGCTTCTCAGTCTGTTGCAGCCTTCTTCCGCCTTCACAGCCATTGTAACATGTACCATGTTATCCTCCGCCTGCTCCGCCGTTGAGGTCTTTGGGTCTTCGGACTGTGCTTGGTCTGGAACCTCCCCCGCGGCCACTCCTGGGAGTGCACGACTCCAGTTGTTGTGCCCACAGGTTCATCGGAACACACAAGCCCCCTCACCACGACAAGGTGTCAGTCCATCAAGGATGAGTTGTTTGAATAATAATAATAATAACCATTTTTATACCCCAGCCACCATCTCCCCAAAGGGACTCAGGGCAGCTTACAAGGGAACAAGCCCAAAAACAGATGAAACAGAAACACAGTAAAATCAATCAAATAAAAACATAACAGAGTCACAAACAACATCATAAAACAATCTTATGGCTGAGATAAAGTTGAAGCTTGGTTCAGGTTCAAGTAAGTGCAAAGCTTCCAAAAATGTGGCCAATGGAAAGTGCAAGATTCAAATAACCAAGGACTAGGGATATCCTTGGAGAAAGTGTCAAGGTAAACCGATAGGAGGGCCACCATAAAGTGCAGGACTTAGAATAGGATCCAGATAGTTCTCTAGTGAAACTGCAAGTAAGACAGAGCATGACTACTCAACCTGGAATAGAAGTTGAGCATTGCTCATCCAGAAATCCAGACCTCACCTACACTGACTAAATAATTCCATTTCTGAAGGCAGATGATCTGCTTTAAACTGGATTATATGATTCTACATTGTCATCTAATCCAGTTTAAAGAAGATAGAACTATGTAACACGATTTTTGTTCCCGCTTTATAAATGCCATTTCCTAATTGGTTCAATCATAAAAAACATGAAAAAGGTTTATTAAACTGCAAAAAAATGTTTTTGCGTGACATCTGCAGCACATTTTGCTATCGTTTTTTAATGAATATCTCAAGAGAGTCTCAACTAATTCAACATAGTTTATGGCAGCCACAAAAACTAAGTTTCTGGAATATAGCAACTACTTTCAAAGTAGGTTTGCACAAATGTGACAAAATTGGCTCTTTTCATACATATGTAGTGGGACTGTGAGAAGATACAAGGATTTTTAAATAAAATAAAGTAGGAGATGGAAAAATTCAGGGGGGAAAGTAGAGTTGGATAGAAGGGAATTTTTTATCTAGAAAATTGAGGACAAGAGTAGCACTAATAAATGGACAGATATCATAAAACATACTATAGCAGTGGTCCAAGCAACAGTAGCTTTGGGCTAGAAAGAGCAGGAAAAATGGGAAGTAAAAAATGGTTTGAATACTTAACAAATGGTATACTTCAGGAATATATTTGTAAAGGAGGCTGAAATACACAACCGGTGGATGTAATTGGGACTTGACATGAGGAACTCTGATAGCTAGAGTAAAAGGAAAGAGAATATAAAGAGCTGAATCACATCCTCGTCATGAGTCCCTCTACGGAGGTTGAGAAGATCGGGATATAAAAGTTTTAAATAAATAAAATCAAATAAATTCAAATAATACTTGAAATGAAGACACAACTGTTCCCAGTGGGCATGTGGGGGGGGGGGGGGAGCAGGGAAGAAAAAGTATTCAACACAAGAGGTTGATAAGTGTGGAATTGGGATTGGTAAGGTTCAATAAATAAGATACATTATATTGAGTGAAAATGGAAATACAGATATTTTCAAAACTGGGGTGGTGGGGAGAGCCAATATTCCAAAACAATTCTGGCCCCAAAAATTTTGAATAAGGGGTACTCAGTCTGAACACTGCAAAACTATTGAAAGAAAGAAAAAAAATTAAAACAATATTATTAACAATACTAGCAGTCTCCTGCCATGCGTTGCTGTGGTCCAGTCTGTGTATATGTATTTTGTGTTTGTATATGTGTGTGTATATATTTGTGTATATGTGTATATATGTGTGTATATGTTTGTGTATATGTGTATATATGTGTGTTTGTGTATATATGTGGGTTTGCGCATGCATTGTAATGCATTTTTTTGCTTCTTAAGTCCCTTCTGCTGTGTTTTTTTTTAGTGTTTTTACGAGTGGTGGTCACTTGTTGGCCTGATACGTGTATTGTGTCCAAACTTGGTGTCAATTCGTCCAGTGGTTTTGAAGTTATGTTAATCCCACAAATAAACATTGCATTTTTATTTATGTAGATTAACAATTAATTGCATACCGCATTTGCAAAGCTGTTCTTACCTTACAGGAAAATGATGCTACATTAAACTAAATTTGTATTTGTCTTCATTTGCTGATTGCTATATTTCAATAGGAAGATCAAATTAATATTGATCATATGGCATTGGTATAGTATATAGTATAATGTTAGTCAGGCCTATTTTTAATAGTAAGTCTTAAGCAACCAGAAACAATGTTTATCTGACATCTCCCCATCCCTATGGCTACCATTTAACTGCAGGTCCTTCCAGACAGACCCTATATCCCAGGATCTGATCCCAGGTTTTCTGTTTATTCTAGACTAGCCGTCCCCTGCCACACATTGCTGTGGCTCAGTCTGGTGATCTGGAAAATAAAGTAACGAGAAAGTGTTGGTTTCTAATATATGTAATTTCTTTATGCTAGTGTTGATGTGGAGAGTGTCTGGTTTGCCCACCCTGGAACATGCAACATAGAATTGACCTTGTTTAGGGGTCCCTTTCAAATCTATGATACTATATCTCTTTGTGTGTGAATCATATATATCTATCTATATCTATGGCTGGATGATTCTTTGTCAGGAGGGCTTTATGTTTTCTTGCCCTGGTGAAGGGAGTTGGACTTGATGGACTTAAGTATTTTCTGTTAGCCATGGGGGTTCTGTGTGGAAAATTTGCCCCAATTCTGTTGGTGGTGGGGTTCAGAATGTTCTTTGATTATAGGTGAACTGTGAATCCCAGTGACTATAACTCCCAAATGTCAAGGTCTATTTCCCCCAAACTCCATCTGTGTTCATATTTGGGCGTATTGAGTGCTTGTGCCAAGTTTGGTCCAGATCCATCATTGTTTGAGTCCACAGTGCTCTCTGGATGTAGGCGAGCTATGCTCAGAATGCTCTTTGATTGTAGGTGAACTATAAATCCCAGCAGCTACAATGCCCAAATGTATAGGTCTATTTCCCTCAAACTCCACCAGTGTTCACATTTGGGCATATTGAGTATTTGTGCCAAGTTTGGTCCATATCTATCATTGTTTGAGTCCACAGTGCTGTCTGGATGTAGGTGAACTACAACTCCAAACTCAAGGTCAGTGCCCACCAAACCCTTCCAGTATTTTCTGTTGGTCACGGGAGTTCTGTGTGCCAAGTTTGGTTCCATTCCATCACTGGTGGAATTCAGAATGTTCTTTGATTGTAGGTGAACTATAAATCCCAGCAACTACAACTCCCAAATGTCAAGGTCTATTTTCCCCAAACTCCACCAGCATTCACATTTGGGGATATTGCGTATTTGTGCCAAGTTTGGTCCATATCTATCATTGTTTGAGTCCATAGTGCTCTCTGGATGTAGGTGAACTACAACTCCAAAACTCAAGGTCAGTGCCCACCAAACCCTTCCAGTATTTTCTCTTGGTCATGGGAGTTCTGTGTGCTAAGTTTGGTTCCATTCCATCACTGGTGGAGTTCAAAATGCTCTTTGATTGTAAGTGAACTATAAATCCCAGCAACTCCAACTCCCAAATCAACACCACCAATATTTAAATTCAAACGTATGGGGTATTTGTGCCAAATTTCATCCAGTGAATGAAAACACATATAAGGTATTTTCATTACAATTCATAACAGATTTAACAGATAATCTGGGATCAGATCCTGGGATAAAGGGGCAGTGTGGAAGGGCCCTTAATTATCCTCGCTGCTTTCAATGGACAGCTGCCCTCCCTTCCTCTTTCCCAACAGACACTGA